AGCAATTATATTTAAGGGTAATTAAACAAAGCAGATAAGCAGCCACAGATGGAAGGGCAGCGGAGGGAAATCAGTCTGAAACATGTGTATCAAACGGAATCCCTTGTTTCCATTCTTCCAATCACAAAGTAACATTTAGTTATACCCAAATTACTCCCTCTCATGTCTAGGATTGGTTTTCTGATAAAATTATAAACGGTCTACTCTGTTGTTCAGGATTATTGATTTCAACAGATCTTATTTTCCCAAGCCATAATTGTGAGTTTGATATGAAATTTTTAAAAGAGGGTTGTGGGGCAGACAAATGAGCTGTCCTACCCATGGTAACATGTATTCTTGCTAATCTTATTGCTATCATTACATGGGGTTGCCATAAGGTTTGGCTTTGAGCTGGTGGTCAAGATCCAGATGAATGACTCAGTTGCCAGTTTATCATGAAACATACTCAGGACTTTCTTGTAATTCCAAGGCCTACGCATGGTTCTAGCATGAAATGAGGGTCCACATTTAAATATCCTACAGTGAATTGTTGGACAGAAGATGCAATTTTATTTTCTCCCTCTCTTGAGTTTTGGAGTTAAAGTTGTATATGTGTGAGAAGTTCTAAAGCTATCATTGCTCAGCTGACTCATTGCCTGTCATGAAACCACTGGAATGGCCCAGGGATCACAGTTCAATTAGCTGATGTGCCTTTCTTGCTAGGATTGGTTGGTGGCTGAAGATGTGTTAAATTCTCTATAATATCCATTTCTCTTCAATCTCCTGAGTGGTATGCACCCTAAACATGTAAAGTAGAGCTGATTGCTTTTCATGTATAAAAGTTTAGGTTTGTGATTCCTTTAAGACTCCTTATAAGATTACCTTTCAAGATAAGTAATAAAGTGATTAGTCCTTTCTTTGTAGTTACAAAAATGCAGCCTGCCAGTAAAAGAATACCTTGCTTGCCTACACTGTTAATCTATAACGAGTTGCTAGGGTATGAATGTACGTGAGTTCTTGGAATAATTTGTTTTTTACCTGTAATATGTAAAATGTTTAATCATGTAAAAATATGGAAAACATGTTTTTACTTGTACTCATTGTAATCATTCACTTGAAAAATAGAATGTAACCATATTGTAATTTTTATATCGCCCTAAAGATTTTGCTGGAATATATAATCTGTAAGGAAAAGAATAAAGATAGTGTTAGAAGGGGTTAGAAGGAAAACATCAAGAATAAAGATAGAGTTAGAAGAAAAACATGAAGAATGAGGGAAGGAAATTACCAGGAAAATAAAGCATAAAGAGAAGGTAAAAGAAGAATAAAGAAAAGATTAGAAGGAAACCATCAAGAGAGTGTATATCTTTTCCCTTACCCCCGAGATATAACGTTTTAGTATGCTCATGCATGGATTACCTTTGAGCCCTGCACTGCTGAAGGCTAATCCTCTAGGCAGTGAAAATTCATGGCCTCTTTTTCATTAAATTGTGTTTTATATATATAAAATTTGTTTATGTATAGTGCTAAATATATACCTGCTCAATCTGCATAATGTTACTTGAATTTTTGTATAGGCTACCGTTCTTTATTGCCGTTGTTTCCCACTATTACTTAGCTAACCAGTTCCTCACCTTAGTGACACCTTATGACAGAATATTCCATATTTATCTAAATTTTATGCATTTAAAACTTTTGCAGTTATATATTCAGTAGTACCATGCTATATACAGTATTTATGACCTTGCTTCTTTGCAATGTGTTGTAGAGATATGTTTATATCAGATTTACAAATGTATCTCATTCTTTTAATCTACTGTATCTCATTCTTTCAATCTAATGTATTATAATATATGATATAAATATATAAAATTACCACAATTTTATTTAGCCAAAGTTTTATCAATGGAAATTTAAGTTGTTTCAAATATTTGGTTGTTACTGACAGTAGTGAACTATGACAGCCAATCTGAGCATCATATGTGATTGGATTTTGAATTCAGATGTTTAAGCTTTTATTTCTTATATTCTAAATAACAATTAAAGATCGTATTATTAAAATCAACTAAAAGTATAATACATTATGATTATTTATTATACATTGTAAAGATTGTATATTAGATATTTAGGTCTGTATACATTATTTACAAGTCTGCTTGAATTAAAAATGTTAAATTCTGTAAGAATATTTTGTTGGCTACCAATGAAGATTTGTTGAAAAATGAAAACAATTCATTTAGCATTTTTTTCTATCATGGGCAGTTAAGGAAAATGGAGCTTATGTTATATAAATATCTTTTCTACATATATTTATGATGTATTTTTGGTTATCAAGAAGTATTTTTGAGACTCTCATCATGATCGTTTATTTCTATAACTGTACATATCTTGTAATCAACACTTAACACTGAGATAGTGCCCCTGTAATCAATGCTCAATGCTGAGATAGACCCTTTTCACATTAGCAGAGATTTCCCAAATGCTTAATTAATTATGATTTAATTATTATATATTTTTTAATTTTTTAATTTTTTTATTGAAAAAAAATGTCCGCCTCTTCCCAGCCTCCTACTCTTCCCCCCTCCCCCCACTCCTCTCCCCCTCCCCCCACTCCTCTCCCCCTCCCCCACTCCTCTCCCCCTCCCCCCACTCCTCTCCCCCTCCCCCACTCCTCTCCCCGTCCCCCCACTCCTCTCCCCGTCCCCCCACTCCTCTCCCCGTCCCCCCACTCCTCTCCCCCTCACTCTCCAGTCTGAAGAGCAGTCAGGGTTCCCTGCCCTGTGGAAAGTCCAAAGTCCTCCCCCCTCCATCCTGGTCTAGGAAGGTGAACATCCAAACTGGCTAGGCTCCCACAAAGCCAAAACATGAAGTAGGATCAAAACCCAGTGCCATTGTCTTTGGCTTCTAACCAGCCCTCATTGTCCGCCATATTCAGAGAGTCCGGTTTTATCCCATGCTTTTTCAGAAAGTGTGGAATATATACACATTAGAGTACTACTCAGCGGTAAAAAACAATGACTTCTCGAATTTTGCATGCAAATGGATGGAAATAGAAAATACTATCCTGAGTGAGGTAACCCAGACCCAAAAAGATGAACAAGGGATGTACTCACTCATAATTGGGTTCTAGCCATAAATAAAGGTCAGTGAGTCTATAATTTGTTATCCTAAAGAAGCTAAATAAGAAGGTGAACCCAAATAAAAACATATAGCTATCCTCCTGGGTATGGGAAGTAGACAAGATTGCAGGGCAAAAAATCGGGATCTTGGGGGTGGGGTGGGAGGGGGGTAAGGGGAGATGGAGAGAGAAAAGTGAGAAGGGTAGGATGGGGAGAACTTGGGGAAACGGGATGATTGGGATAAAAGAAGTTTGGATGGGGAGCAGGGAAGCACGTATCTTAATTAAGAGAGCCATCTTAGGGTTGGCAAGAGACTTGGACCTAGAGGGGCTCCCAGATGCCCAAGGCAAGGTCCCAAGTTAGTTCTCTGGGCAGCTGAGTTTAGGGAACCTGAAATGATCCTACCTATAGCCATACTGATGAATATCTTGCATATCACCATACAACCTTCATTTGGCGATGGATGGAGATAGAGACAGAGACCCACACTGGAGCACTGGACTAAGCTCCCAAGGTCCCAATGAGGAGCAGAAGGAGGGAGAACATGAGCAAAGAAGTCAGGACCACAAGGGGTGCACCCACCCACGGAGACAGTGGGGCTGATCTATTGGGAGCTCACCAAGGCCAGCTGGACTGGGACTGAAAAAGCATGAGATAATTATTATATTTTGTAACCTACCCCATAGCTAAGCCTCTTGTGTATTAAAAGGACTTATAAAACATTTTAAAGAGGCAAGATCAAGTTATATAGTTTAAGCAAAATATGAAAACAGTAGTAATTTAAATGAAATCAATATATGAATAATAGGATAAGACTGTCTTTCTGACAACAGTATATATGACATATTCCTCTGCTGTTTTCTTCTGATTATCCTTACTATTTGTTTCTTTTTTTCCCGTTTTTCCAGACTCATGGTCTTACTCATTGCTTTACCCTGCCTCGCCTTTAGTACCATTTTCTCACTCACTTTTCTTGCACTCCAGCACATCCTCCATGCCATGTTCATCATCATTAGATTCAGTTGACATTTGAGTAATTGTTTTACTCTAAGAATCACTAATGACGTTATAACCTACCGTATCATGCCCCAATCCATTGGTATATTTCTTAAAACTCTTCAGGATTGAGTCCTTCCCTATCTATGTAGTGTCATTTCCAATTTGTATTGTTTATTCCATGAAAATTGGTTCTTCACATCACCCATTCAATTCCTTCTCATCAGGTGGTTCCTTTGTACATACATCATTCTTGATAAGTCTCATCACTAAGGTCCTTTATTTTATCCTTTAAGTTTCACATTGACATCAAATTCCGTACTTAAAAAATTCCTTCTCTGTAGTTTTGTTGCCTGTCCTGGAACTCGCTCTGTTGACCAGGTTGGCCTTGAACTCACAGAGAGCCAAAGAGGCTGACTTTTTAAAACCAGTCCCTAAAGAGCTATCAGTCTTGCTTGCGTTACTGAAGATTAGGGCAAAAGTGGGGATGACTTGGACTCTTGCAAAGTTTATGCTACGGGAAATCTACTGCAATTCGTTTTGACTATTTAGTGCTACAAAGCAAATACGTGAATTTCAATGTTTCTATGATTTTATTTTTTCAATCTATATTTCTTGACACATACAAGCTTATGAATATACATCCAAAATAAGCAGTCCATTTGTTTGAATGCGTTGGAATATATAGCTGTGCGGATATCCTATTTTAAGTGACTCAATGGAGCTCTAAATTTACTGGAAAATGGATATTGTATGGCTAGAGTAACAGCCCAAGTACAAACACTATCTAATAAATGTTTACACACCATCAAGTCTATAAACATTAAATATCATACACGATGGAATCATCTTTACCCTATAATTTATCTCAATTTTTCCATTACTTTCTTTCATTTTCTCTTTTAGCTTTGCTCACAGACAAGCCTCCCAAGCCATTGTTCCCCATGGAAAATCAGCCAAGTGTGATAGATGTCCAGCTGGGTAAGTCTCCTTCTGGGAATAATAATAGATCCTAAACTTGTTCTCTGTTAACAGATGGGGAAAATTGCATGAACCAGGAAAGGTTTATTGCCACTGTTATTACATGCAAATCAATTTGTGTTCTGCTCATTTATAACCCTGGCATTCAGTACAATAGCAGTTTAAGGAAATGAGTTTGTATTGCATGGAGGAATGGTAATACTAATTTGTTACACTGGGTATTAAGTGTGCTATACGACAGAGCTTTTTAACTCTGTGATTGATAGATTCATGGTTGTCTTGCATCGGTGATTGGTACAGAAAACTTTCCATACATGTGTCAGCCAAATAAATTTATTTGGAGACCATTAACTTCTGGAGACTAAGCACTTCATAAAAGACAAAGCTTGGTGCAGCCTTTAAAATGATTTGATAATATTATTTCCAACAACACAATCCAGTGTTATTTAAAACCCATTTTAAGGACATGATCCTGAATATTTATGAATCATATGATGTCGGGAAAAGTAACAAGTTGATTTATGAGTACTAGTCTCTTTTCACAGTCTCAAACAAGAGCATAAAACGTCAAGCTTGTGTGCTTGTGTCTGTGGATGTGTTCCCTTCCTTCAATGCATATGATTTGAAAGAACAATAAGAATAAAGCTTAGAGGCAGGCCTACTTTGTTTTTTTCCAAAATGTGGCCTTTAATCTAAAATATGTTACTTAACATTTGTGAGCTTTTGTCTATCTTCAGTTTGACCATAGTAATCTGAAGTTTTTCAATTAATAACAAAGAGTGGAATAGCTAAGTGAGTTTTCGAATCTATATGATCTTTTGTAATTTGTGACCATGGTGGTGCCTATAAATTATACACAATATTTTTACTTCCTTGTGAAATTATTAACTCTTGTTTTGATTTTACCAACCAAACTTGGATTGGCAAAAAACAAGCTTTCTTCACAACATTGAAATACCATCCAGAGTCTTTTTTTTAAAAATACATCTGGAACATATCCCAGGTTTTATCATGTGCTATGTCCTAAGACAAGTATTTACACATTTAAGAAGGCTCAAATTAAACTAAGTAGATTTTCCTTCCATTATGGAATAAAAGTAGAAATTGAAATATTTGAAGAAAAGATAAAATTCATATGGGGAAACTAAAGAATGTTGTTGGACAACAAGTGGGTTAAACAAGGAATCAAAAATTAAAGAGAGGAGATAATATCTTAAGAAAAAAAGAGATGAAAATGTAATACTAAAAACCTACGAGATACAACAAATATAATACTAAGCATTTTAGTTTTGTGTTAAATAAAAAAGTCCCATAAAGACAAGTATTGCATGTTTTATGTCATATATAAAATCAGGGGCTGGAGCACGTGAAAGACAACTGGGGACTATTAGTAAAACAGGAGAAGGGCAAGAAGGACTAACACAATTTAATAAAATTGGTTAATATGACTAAATACATTATATGCATGTATTGAAATATAATGAAAGCCCATCATGCAGTTAATACACTGACAAAAAAGTTTATAGTTGTTAGTAACCCCTTTAAACAAGAGTCAATATTTCAAAGTAACAATCTATCTTTAATTTAGCTTTATACTTCTAAATAAGAAATTAAGCTTAAATGCCCAAATTTAGCAAAGGAGGAAGAAGCGGAAGAAGGAGAATAATAAAAATAGAGATTAAAAACAAAATAGAAAAAAATCACTAAAACTAGGTACTACTTCATTATTAAGACATTGACAAAACTGTTTCAGAGGAAGGCGACATTATTGCTGTATGTCAGGTGTATAACTTGCCTAGAATGCAAAGCTTGCATCCCTGGATTAAATTCTAAGTATGAAGGAATAGACTCAAATAAATAACATCATAAATAAAATCATAGAAATAACTGATGACACAATATTTTGTTACTTATATGGTGTTAAAATCATATAGACAATGACTTGAATAATTTCAAGGTCATGGATAAATTCCTAGAATCATAAATCAAGGAAGCTAAATCATAACGAAAGAGAAAGTTTGAACAAATAATAATGAATGTGACTACTGGATAAGGAATAAAAAGTTTCACAACAAAGAAGATTCCAGGCACACATGGAATATATATACTGTATAAGCCTACCTTACATTTACAGAATTATTTGCAATTCTCAACATTTTTAGAACATTTAAATTGAGGCACTTCCAAACACATTCTACTAGACCAACATTACACAACTAGCAAAACCAGACAAAGACATTACTAGAAAACTAAAGCTAATCAATATTCTTGAAGAATATAAATGCAGAAATCTTCAATAAAATGCCAGCAACCTGAACTCAATTGCATGTTAAAAGGATTATGCACCATGACCAAGTTGGATTTACCCTGGAATGTACAGATGGTTCACCATATGAAAATCACATAAGCATCTTAATAGCTGTGGGTGAAGATTTTGAAAAATCTCAACAACCTTTCATGATAAAAACATATGGAGCAAATTAGAAATGGAAAGAAATTACTTGAACAGAATAAAGGTCATATATGAAAAACTCAGTGAAAATTATATACTGAATGTTGAAAAACTGTATGCTTTTCCTATATGATGAACAAGAAATGGAGTAAGGATCCTCAGAGTTTGATATTTCTCCTAAACCAAGTTGGTACATGAAGTCTTAACCAAAGCAACCAAGCAAAATAGATAGATAGATGGATAGATAGATAGATAGATAGATAGATAGATAGATAGATAGACAGACAGACACCAAAGACCAGAAAAGCCTGTACAAGTATCTTAATTCTCAGGTGACATGGCCTTCTTCTCAAGTAGAAGAAAATTTAAAATTTCAAAAAAAAAGTTGTATGAAATAAATTAAACAAAGCTTCAGGACATAGAATATGTACAGAAAGAGCACTGTGCTTTTACAGACTAACAGTGAGTAATCTACAGAGCAAACTAAGAATTCCAGTTTTAAAAAGTGTATAAAAATAACATGTTTTAAAACACAGTTTGCTAAGTAGGTAATGTACTCTGAAGTTATAAAGTACTCTTGAAATAAAAAGACACAACATGGGATGAAGAGATAGCTCAGTGGTTTCAGAGGACCCAGGTTTGCGTCTCAGTTCCCATTTGTATAGGCTACTGCTGCTGCTGCAATCCTTTACTTGTTCAGAACCAAACTTCTTCAGGCTCCAATCTAATAAAACACACACACACACACACACACACAGCACCCACTTTGTCTTCCCATTCCAGTCCCCCTGCATCCAGCCTTAATTATCTATTCTAGTTCTTTTTACTAGAAAGATCTGTTTGTCCCCAGTCCCTTAATCTATACTTAACCATTGTGGTCCTATGGATTGTAGGTCAATTATTATTTACTTACCTTTTAACATCCTGATATAGGCAATTACATACCATATTTGTTCTTGTTGATTGGGTTGTCTCACCCAGGATGAGTTTTTCTAGTTCCATTAATTTAATTGCAAATGTCATTATTTAATTCTTTTTAACGTGTAATACTCCATTGTGTAAATGTACCCTTACTAAATACCTAAAATCTGTGGTTCAGTGGACTGTAGCTTGTTATCATTTATTTAAATGCTAAAATGTACATAAAAGCTAATACATGCTATTTTTATCTTTCTGGGTCTGGGTTACCTCATTAATGATGTTTTTTTTTCTAGTTCCTTTGATTTGCCTGCAAATTTCATGATGTCTTTTTAAAAAACTGAGTAATAGTCCATTGTGTAAATGTATCACATTTTCTTTACCCATTCTTCTGTTGAGGAACATCCAGGGTGTTTCAAATTTCTCGTTATTATGAATAGAGCATCAGTGAACATAGTTGAGCAAGTATTCTTGTGGTCACATGAAACATCCTTTGGGTATATGCCTAAGGGTGGTATAGCTGGATCTTGACGTAAAATAATTAACAATTTTGTGAGGAAATGCCATGTTGATTTCCAAAGTGACTATAAAAGCTTGCACTTCCACTAGCAGTGGAAGCGGAGGAGTGTTCCCCTTTTTCCATATCCTCACCAGCACGAGCCATAATTTGTGTTATTGATCTTAGCCATTCTGGCAGATATAGGGTCAAATCTCAAAGTAGTCTTCTCCTGGAATTCCTATACTTACCTAGCCAAGTAAACAAGAATTCAGAGGGTTTCAGTGACATTAAATATCAGCATAGAAAGCCATGTATATATAGTACTTCCAATCACATTTTCTTGTCCAGAGTTTAGCATTCCATTGGAATTCCAATGAAAGCTGCTGCACAGTGCGGACTACTTAGGTATACTGCCAGATAGTCTGAAAGGGGCAGAGACCAGCCATCTCTCCCATCATGGCTCAGAGGTTAAGAGCATTGCCTGCTCTTCCAAAGGTCCTGAGTTCAATTCCCAGCAACCACATGGTGGCTCACAACCATCTGTAATGAGATCTGGTGCCCTCTTCTGGCCTGCAGGCAGACACACAGACAGAATATTGTACACATAATAAATAAATAATGTTTTTTTTTTAAAAAAAGAGATCAACTAAGCTATGTGGAAGAGGCTCAGACTGTCACCTGAGCATCCTGAGACATCTATGTTCTGTTGAGCTTCCTGCAGGTTGTTCCGCATGATCCAGATTTTGAGCTTTTGTGAGCTCTCACCCATGCTAGAGTGAGCTTTGGTGATACAGCTGTCTGTGAATCATTTCTGTTCCTGTAAATTACCCTTCACCCATATTCCTCTTAGTGACTCCAATAAAACTCACTGGTTTAGAAAAACAGAGAGAGAGAGAGAGAAAGAGAGAGAGAGAGAGAGAGAGAGAGAGCAGAGAGAGAGAGTTTCAGAATGCAGAGGAGCACAGAGATTTAGATGACTTTTGGTTGTAATGAGGCAATGTAGAATTTCCTCTGGGAACATCCCGAAGAGTGTTGTCTGGAACAGAGAGTCCTATAACAATCAAAACCTCGCTCTTCCTAGAGAGCAGTCTGTTTCATTACTGTACTACTTTTCATTGCAAAGTTTTTCCT